GCAGCAGCTGCAGTAGCAGCCCCAACAGCAGCAGCAGCAGCAACAGGTGCAGCAGCAGAAGCAGCAGCAGCTGCAGCAGCAGAAGCAGCAGCAGCTGCAGCAGCAGCTGCTGCTGCTGCCGCTGCTGCAGCTCTTGCAGCAGTTGCTGCTGTTGCGCTGCAGGCGGCTCCATCTTGCTCCAGCCGTGAGGAAAAGCAGCAGGCACTCACGCAGCATAAACTACAGCATTTGCTGCAGCAGCAGCAGCAGCAGCAGTGCTGCTGCTGTATGCAGCCAAAGTGGCCGAGTATAAATATTTAGAGTTTCGAAAATAAATAAATGAATTCATTTTCTCGGAGAAGCAAATTTAGAACGACCAATTCGTGCAAATAATCCAAACATATATCTATAAATACCTCCAGAGACAATTAGTTATCTAGGTAATTAATTAATTGATTAATTAATTAATTAGTTGATTAATTAATTAATTAGTTGATTAATTAGTTAAATAACTAATCAATTAGTTAATTAGTAGTTTGTGCTTCATTTTCTATTTGCTTCCCCTTCTCTTTCCTTCCGATTCAGATTCTCGCATGCATGCAAGTGCCTCAAACTTCCAAAGACGCAGATATATATATCTGCTGCAGAGCCCCAGCAAATTTGCTGCTGCTGCTGCTGCAGTTGCTGCTGCTGGTGCTGCTGCTGGTTGTGCAGGCTCTGGCCGCGGGGTGTACGTACACCTCAAGCGACTCGTCTGCATGCGTTTAGACGGAAAAGATTGAGCGAGCAGCAGCAAAAAGCGCCCTAAAACTCCAAAATATTTTAAAAATATTCCAAAAATATTCTAAATATTCTTAAAATATTATCAAATGTTCCGAACGTTCTTTTAATTGCATTTATTTCTTCTTTCGGCTGACGCTCCCCGCCGGCACGAGCTGTCTGTACACCTCAGCAAGTTGCTGCAGCCCATATGCCGAGAATTTATTTGCCAAACAAATTTGCATTTTTAATAATAAGGGCATCAAATCTTTGTTTTATAAATACCGTATATGTATGCATGTGTATATATATGATATATATTTATATATATATGCATTCATATATATATATATATATACATGTATGTTCATACATATATATATTACATATGCATTTATATGTATGTATATGTGTATATATATATACATATGTACATATATATACGTATATATATATACATATGCATATATATGTATATATATACGTATATATATTTATATGTACATATATATGTCTATATATATATGCATAATGGCGATACGCTGAAGCAGAAGAGATGCTGCTGCTGGAGCAACTGAGGAAGCCAAAGAGCAGCCAGCAGCAAGAAGCAAATAAAGATCTGAATACTTCAAATAGGAGAAAGAAAGTAAGGAAGAATTAAAAGATTTAAAACAAGGACAGAAATAGGTTAGAAATGAAATTAATTAGGGAGGAACATGAGAGAAGTTTGAGAACTAAAACAGTTAAGAACAAAACGAAGAAAAAATAAATAAATAACTTTAAGCCTTCAAGGAGGCACTCAAGTGGCGCTGAGTTAGTTTTTTCGGGGTGAAATAAACAAAACCAAAATTAAAAAGAAATAAACAAGAAACAAACAAAGAATAAAATAAAATAGAAAATGAAAGAAAAGAATACGGCAAAAAATAGAAAAATTCGAGATTGGCCAGGGCACACTTGCCCTAATCATTCAAGATCTTCCATGAAGCCAAAGAGAGAAAAAGGCGGCGAATTGGAGAAATTGTGGAATTAAATTTGAATTAAAATGAAGTTAAATATAAAAATGAGAATTAAAAAGCGAACAAAGAAGGAAAACGAAAGAAAAAGGACGAAAAATGGAAAAATTTCGAAAGACGCGCAACAGCAGCAGCTGCTGCCGGCGCCATCATAGCTTAGTGGTAGAGCATCGGTCTTGTAAACCGAAGGTCGTGGGTTCGATTCCCATTGGTGGCTGTTCTTCCAGTAAAAATCGAACTTAAATGTTTATTTTGTTTACATTTTCTTCTTTTTTTTTAATTTTATTTAGTTACACTGAATTTGGTGGCGGTTGGCCCCAAGTTCACTATTTTTGCTGCTGTCTTCCTGCTGCTGCTGCCTGCTGCGCTGCGAAACATTCAAAAACCCTAAACCCTGAACCCTAATCCCCCAAATCTCAGATGACTCTGCCCCTCCAAACCCTAAACCCTAAACACTAAACCCTAAACCCTGGATTCCAGGCCCTTTCTGGAGAGTTGGGCGCTGCTGCTGCTGGCAGCAATGAACTGCAGTCGCCTTTTAATGCAGCACCGACAAACAGCTGGCAGCAGCCGCAACAGCGCCAGCGAGCAGCAGCAGCCGCAGCAGCAGCGAGCCGCAGCAGCGGCGAAATACAGCAGCAAAGGCAGCTAAAGCGGCAGCAAGCAGCAGCAACAAACCACGCAGTGGCCCCTCGTAGGGTTTCCAAGAGCTGTTTCAGAAACTAATTCATCTCTGAAAAAGTTTAAGCTCTAGCTAGGGTCTAGGGTTTAGCTAGGGTCTAGGGCTTACTGACAGAATAGGGTTTTGCGAGGGTTTGGGGTCTAGCCAGTGTGAAAAAGGGTTTAGCGTCAAAGGTTTAGGGTTTGACTACCAGTCAGCCAGCTCAGATCTCATAAAGCAGCTTCTAAACACTAAACCCTAAACCTTAAACCCTCATCTGAGAAGTCAAGAAATTCATAGGGGAAGTCAAAGAATATGCTTTCAAAAAGCAGCAAACAAATTGCTGCTGCAGCAGCAGCACCAGCAGCCAGTACTAAAGTCAAACTGTATAAGTGCTGCAGGAGCTGCTGCTCAAAGTCAAACTGTATAAGTGCAGCAGCAGCAGCTGCTGCTGCTGCAGCCACCAGCACATGAAGCCGAACTGTATATAGCGGCTGCTGCAGCAGAACTGCACCTTCAGCTGCTGCTGCAGCTCAACAGACTAACGCCCCTCTTCTTTATTAGCTTCTGTCCCTGCTACTGCTGCTGCTGCTGCTGCTGCTGCTGTTGCTGCTGCCGGACCTCAGCAGGCGGCCCTCCGGAGCAGCAGCAACACAAGAACATTCAGCAGCAAAAGGTAAGCAGCAGCAGCCACGCGGGCCACGCCATTGTCTAGCAGCAGATGTAGCGCAGATCTGCAGCAGCAGAAGCAGCAGCAGCAGCAGCAACAGCAACACGATTACATGTAGCAGACCGCCCGGAGAAGAAGCCCGCATGCAACTTTTGCAGGAAGTACGCAGTTTGCAGCAGCAGCAGCAGTAGCAGCAAGAGCAGCAGTAGCAGCAAAAGAAGGGGAAGCAGCAGCAGCAACACCGAAAGCAGGGGGAGCAGCAGCAGCAGAAAGAGCAGCTAGGGGTTACCTAATGGGATTATCAACACGGCTGACGAGCCTGCTGCTGCTGGGTGCTGCTTCAGCTGCTGCTGCTGCTGCTGGTCTTGTGGCCTTCCTACTGCGAACGCCATCTCCTGCAGCAGCAACAGCAGCAGCAACAGCGCAATAAATGGGACTTTTCCTCTGTTGTAGCTGCTGCTGCTGCTACCAGCTCAGCAAGAGACTCACTCTCTGGTGTAGCCTGCTTTTGCTGCTCTTGCTGCTGCTGCTGCTTCTGCTGCTCCTGCTGCTGCTTCTGCTGCTCCTGCTGTTTCAGTTGCTGCTGCAGCAGATGCAGCTCCCGCGTGACAGCATCAACTTGCTGCTCATATGCTGCTGCCTGCGAGCGCCAAGAGGCCTCTGCACGCCAGGCTTCCTCCAGTGCAGTTTGCTGCTGCTGCAGCTGCTGCTGCTGCTCTTGCTGCTGCTCGTATTTCTGCTGTAGCTGCAGCATCTCTTGCTCCTAAACACAGGAAATGGAGACGCGCAGAGCTAAGTGCTGTTCGTGCTGCTGCTGTTGCTGCTGCAGCCGCTTCTGCAGGTGCTGCTGCTCCTGTCGCTGCAACATTACGTACCAGCTCCTTGTGGGACTGCTTCTGCTGCTGCTGCTCCTTCAGTGCCTCTTCGAGCTGCTGCGCCTTCTCCTGGTGCTGTTGCTGCAGCTGCTCCAGCGATTCGTTTGCAGCAGCAGCAGCAGCACGGGCCTCCCTGCAAACAAACAGACGGAGCAGCAGAGCATGCCATGTTTTACCTGCTGCTGCTGCTGTTCGCGTACCAGCTGCAGCAAAGGCAGCTGCAGTGCTGCAGTAGCTGCTGCAGCAGTAGCGGCGAGAGCAGCAGCTCACCTCAGTTCGCCCTCAAGAGCTGCAACTTGCTGCTGCGATGCTGCTGCTGCTGCTGCCTGTGCTGCAAACTCGCTGCTGCTCCTTTTTAGCTCCTCCTTCTGCAGCACGAGCTCCCGCGACCGCTGCAGGCAGCCGCAAAGAATGCAACGGCAGCAGCAAAAAATGCAACAGCAGCAGCAAAGAAAGCAACAGCAGCAGCAAAGAATGCAACAGCAGCAGCAAATAATGCAAGACCAACATCGAAGAATGCAACAGCAGCAGCGGCAAGTCGAAGGGAGCAGCAACAGCGATGCTGCAGCAGCAGCAGTACTGCAGCAACATACCTCGTCCAGCTGCAGCTTGAGAGCGTCTGCATTTTCTTGCTGCTGCTGTTGCAGCTGCAGCTGCTGCTCTTTCTGTTGGAGCTGCAGCTGTTGCTCCTCTAGTTGTTGCTGCTGCTGCTCCAGCTGCTGTTGCTCCTGTTGTACCTGCTGCTGTTGCTGTTGCAGCAGCTGCTGCTGCTGTTGCAACTGCTGCTCTTGCTGCTGCAGTTGCTCCCGTTCCCCCTGCAGCTGCTGTTGCTGCTGCTCCAGCTGCTGCTCCTTCTGCTGCAGCTGCTGCTGTTCTTGCTTCAGCTGCTGCTGAAGGCCATTTACTTCGTCCTGCCGCTGCTGCTGTTGCAGCAGCTGCTCCTGTTGGTGCTGCAGCTGCTGCTGTTGCTGCTGCACCTGTTCCTCCTTCTGCTGCAGCTCCTGTTGCTGCTCCTGTAGCTGCTTCTGAAGGTCACTGAGCTCGCCTTGCTGCTGCTGTTGCTCCTGTTGTTGTTGCTGCAGCTTCTGCTTTAGGCAACACATTTCATTGTCCTGGTGCTGCTGCTGTTCCTGTTGCTGCTGCTGTTGCTGCTGCAGCTGCTGCTTTAAGTCACTTAATTCGTCTTGCTGTTGGCGTTTTAGCTCCTCTTGCTGCTGCAGCTCATCTTCCCTCTGCACCAGCAGCTGCTGCTGTTGCTGCAGCTGCTCCTTCAGATCAATTATTTCGTCCTGCTGCAGCTCTTGCTGCTGCTGCTGCTCCTCTAGCTGCTGTTCCTTTACCAGCAGCTGCTGCTGTTCCCGCAGCAGCAGCTGCTGCTGCTGCTGCAGCTGCTGCTTCAGATCGGCTATTTCGCCTTGCTGCAGCTCTTGCTGCAGCTGCAGCTGCTCTACCCGCTGCTCCTTTTCCAGAAGCTGCTGCTGCTCCCGCAGCAGCTGCTGCTGCTGTTGCTCCAGCTGCTTCTTCAGGTCATCCATCTCATCTTGCTGTTGTTGTTTCTGCTGCAGCTCTTGCTGCAGCTGTTGCTCCTTCTGCAGCTGCTGCTGCTGCAGGTACTGCAGGTGCTGCTGCTGTTGCTCCAGCTGCTGCTTCAGGTCATCTAGTTCGACCTGTTGCTGCTGCTGCTGCTGCTGCTCTTGCTGCAGCTGCTGCTCTTTCTGCAGTATCTGCTGCTGTTGCTGCAGCAGCTTCTGCTTCAGGTCATCAATCTCATCTTGCTGCTGCTCTCGATATTGTTGCCGTTGCTGAAGCTGCTGCTCTTGTTGTTGCAACCGCTGCTGTTGCTGCTCCAGTAGCTGCCCCTTCTGCTGCAGTTGCTGTTGCTGCTGCTCCAGTAGCTGCTCCTTCTGCTGCAGTTGCTGTTGCTGCTGCCCCAGGAGCTGCTCCTTCTGCTGCAGCTGTTGCTGCTGCTGCTCCAGTAATTGCTCTTTCTGTTGCAGTTGCTGCTGCTGCTGTTGCATTTGCTCTTTGAGGCCAGACAGCTCCTCCTTCTGCTGCTGCAGCTGCTGCTTCAGATTGTTCACTTCAGCCTGCTGTTTCTGCTGCTGCTCCTGGCTCTGCTGCCTCTCGTCCACCTGCTGCTGCTGCTGCTGCTGCAGCTGCCGCTTGAGGTCGCTCATCTCATCTTGCTCCTTTTCATACTGCTGCAGCTGCATCTGCAGCTGCTGCTTCTGCTTTTCAAACTGCTGCAGCTGCTGCTGTTGGTGCTCCAGCTCCTGCTGTCGCTGCTGCAGTTGCTGCTGTTGCTCTTCCAGCTGCTGCTGAAGCACAAGACGCTCTTCTTGTGAAGCAGCTGCAGCAGCAGCAGCAGATGCCTCGCGCTGCTCCATCTCCTGCGCAGCGAAGCAGCAAAGGCAGCAGATCGGAGCAATGCACATTAGCTAAGCAGCAGCAGCAGCAGCAAGAGCTGCACCCGCAGCAAGAGCTGCACCCGCAGCAAGAGCTGGAGCAGCAGCAAGAGCTGCAGCAGCATTGGCCAGTTACTCTACAGGCACAGCACCAATAAGAAAGACCCACATGGCGAAGCTTCTCCTGTGCTGTCCGCAGCAGGTGCTGCTGCTGCTGCTGCTCATTCTGCTGCTGCTGCTGCTCCTCCTTCAAACTCTTGTACTTGCCAATGGCTGCCTGCAGCGCACCGCTGCAGCAGCAGCAGCAGCAGCGGCAACAACACTTGTGAACAGCTAAGCCAGTGTGGCGGGGATCGAAGAATCGCAGCCAGAAGCAGCAGCAACTAGGAAAGTAGCTCACGCCATTGCTGAATGCTGCTGCTGCAGCTGCTGGTGCTGCTGCAGCAGCTCCTCGTGCTGCTGCTGCAGCTGCGGCAGCCGCGGCGCCTCCTTCTGCGAACCCAAAGAGCTCTGCAGCCGCAGCAGCAAAGCAGCAGCAACAGACAAGTGCAATCACATAAGCGCAGCAAGCTTCTGCAGCAGCAGCAGCAGGAGCAGCACATGCAGCAGCTACGCTTGGTGGCAACTGGTGCTGAGTCTTACCTCTTCCTGCTGCATCTGACCCTGCTTAGCGCGTTGCTGCTGCTGCAGTTGCTGCTGCAGGTCCCTGACTTGCTGCAGCGTCACCCACACATTATAGAGGTACACAACTTCTGCAGCAGCAGCAGCAACAGCAGACGCAGCGAAAGCAGCAGTAGCCACAGCAGCAACAGCAACATGCTGCGCAGCAACAAAAGGAAGCAGCTGCAGCAGCAATGAACAACTCGTGTACTGGAGCAGCACCTGAATAGCAGCAATGGCTGCTGCAGCAGCAGCAAAGGAAGTCCACCGTAGCAGCAGTAGAAGCAGCAGCGCCTTACCTGCTGCAGCCTCAGGACAACTTGTGCCTGCTGCTGCTGCTGCTCCTGCTGTTGCTGCAACAGCTGCTGCCGCTGCAGCAGCTGTTGCTGTTCTGTCTGCTGCACCTTCCCTGCTGCTGCTGCTGCTGTGGGGGCCGCCGGCGCCACTGCTGCTGCTGCTGCGCTGCGGCGAGATGCCATAGTTTCATCCAGGCGGGAGAGAGCAGCAGCATGTTTTCCTCTTTGCTGCTGCTGCTGCTGCTGGTGCTGCTGCTGCAGACGATCTGCTGCGGCTTCAAAAATATGCGCAGCAGAAGCTGAGTCCTGCAGCGGACTGCTGCTGCTGCTGCTGCTCTTCTTTTGCACCTTCCCCATTGCCGCTGCGGCTGGTGCTGGTGCTGGTGCTGCTGCTGCTGCTGCTGCTGCTGCTGCTGCTGCTGCTGTTGGGTTTGTTGCTGCACCTGGAGCGACAAACCTCACGGGGCTGTTCTTAAGAGGGGAAATTGGGCTCTCCATTGTTGCTGCTGCTGTTGCTGCTGCTGCCGCAGGTGCTGGCTGCTGCTGCTGCTGCTGCTGTCGGTCTAGTTGCGCCCTGTAAGGACCTGCTGTTGCTGCTGCTGTTACTGCTGCTGCTGCTGCAGTCACTGCTGCTGAGGTGTGTGCAAGTTGCTAGGGAGTGCCCGTAGCTGCTGCCTCCAGAAACTGCCGCCGCTGCCGCTTCTGGTGCTGCTGCTGCTGCTCGGGCTGCTGCTGCTGCTGCTGCTGCTGCTTGAGCTGCTGTTGCTTCAGTTGCTATTGTTGCTGCTGCTTGCGCTGCTGACGCTCCTGTTCTGGCTGCTGCTGCTGCTGCTGTGTTCGCAGCGGCCTCGATAAGGTCACTCGCCCTCCGCACACTGTCAAAACCTTCGAACCCTAAACCCTAAACCCTACGCGCTAAACCCTAAACCCTAGACCCTAAACTCTAAATCGCAAAAGCAAACAGAGAAATAGAAAGCGGTGTCCGTCCCAAACTTTCTGCGTTGTTGCTGTTGCTCCTGCAGCCGCAGCACCTGGCCTCAAGGCCTGACGAGCTTGGCTGCTGCTGCTGCTGCTGACGCTGCTGCTGCTGCTGCTGCTGCGACTGCTGCACTCCGGCTATTTGTGTTGCTGCAGCAAACCGAGGGATGCAAATTCGTTTAAAAATTAACGAGCAGCAGCAGCATCTTGAGGAATGGGCGCACCTCAAGTTGCTGCTCCCGTTCCTGCTGATGCTGCTGCATGCAGCCAACACTGCCAGCCGGTAAAGCCTGCGCAGCAGCAGCAGCAGCAGCTTCAATTTTGTTGCTGCAGAACAGCAACGCCACAGCCCTGCTGAAGCTCTTCCGTGTCTTTGCGAATTCAGCGTTGTCTTTACTTCAGGAGCAGCAGCAGGGCCAAGGACTGCAGCAGCAGCAGCAGCAGCAGCTGCGCCAGCAACATTTGCAGTCAGAAAGGCAGCACCAGCAGCAGGAACAGTGGAATCTGGGGCTCCAGTGACAGCAGCAGCTGCTGCTGCGGCAACGACACCGGCAGCTGCAGCAACTGCAGCGGGAAACCAGCGCAGCAGCCGCAGCAGGAGCTAGGAAGCAGCAGCAGCCCCAGCTGCAAACTCTCACAGCAGGAGGACAGTGGTGGGCAAGTTCAGCATGGGCCGCAGCAGCAACAACATCAACTAGTCCAGCAGCAAATACTGGAGAAGCAGCAGCAGCAGCAGCAGCAGCAGGAGCGCAGACAGCACGGACATCAGCAGCAGCCGCAGCAGCAGCAATCCAGCTCAACACCCGCAGGCGCTTCATCGCCAGATATAAAAGGGTCCTGAGCAGCAAGTACTGCAGCAGCTGCAGCAGCAGCACAAGTAGCCGCAGCCGCAGTAGCAGCAGCATCGGCAGCAGCAGCAGCAGCAGCCGCAGCAGCAGCAGCAGCAGCAGGCACTGTAGCAGCAACAACGGCCGCCGCCGTAGCAGCAGCAACAGGGGGATCGGAAAGCTGCTCTATACGGTGAGTTGGCGTTTCTGCTGCATGAAGAGCAGCATCAACAGCAGCAGCAGCTGCGGTGGGGAGCGCAGCAGCAGCAGGAACAGTAACAGCAGCAGTAGCAAGTGCGGCAGCAGCAGCAGCAGCGACGGCAGCAGCAGCGAAAATGAGGCGAAGAGATAAAAACAGCACCGTCAGCTGCCCCTACTGCACGGTAGGTCTTGATAGCAGCAGCAACGACTGCAGCAGCAGATGCAGCTGCAGTAGCAGCAGCAGCAGCAGAATCACGGCAGAGAGGTACTATGTGGCGACAGCAGCAGCACGACCTCTGCAGTTCGAGCACGCAGCAGCAGCAGCACAGGAGCAACAGCAGCACAGCGAACGCAGCACAACAGCAGCACCAGAGCAGCAGCAGCGCAGCAGCAGCGCAGCAGCAGCAGCAACCAGCAGCAGCAGGGGCGTGCGTTTGGGTGTATGTACAGCTGAAGATGTACTGCAAGGCCCACAACGACATCCACAAAATAAGGGCCATGGAGATCCAGCAGCAAATTCAGCAGCAGCAAGGAGAGGGGGCCACTTTGGCGAAGATTTATGACTCCTTCATAGGTCTGCTGCTGCTGCTGGTGCTGTGTTGCTGCTGCTGCGGCGCTGCCGGTGCTGCTGCTGGGGTTTCTGCTGCTGGCGACGCAGCTGCTGCGGCTGTTGCTGCCGCTCCTCCCGCCGTCGCTGCTGCTGGAGCTTCCCCCATTTCCCTCCTCCTGCTGCTGCTGCGCTGCTGCTGCTGCTGCTGCTGCAGGGGAGCGGCTGAACCGCATGCGACACAAGCTGGAGGAAAGCCCACCCTCGAGAGGCCTGTGGGGTGATGACCCAGTTGCTGCTGCTGCTGCTGCTGCTGACCACACACCCCCAGCAGGAGACCTTGCTGCTGCTGCGCAGTCGCCGCCGCGACAAAGCAAAAAGAAGCAAAAGTCCGTGGGGTTTAGGGTTTAGGGTTTAGGGTTTGGGGGTTAGGGTCTGCGGTTTAGGGTTTAGGGTTTAGACGGCGTTGAGAGTAGGGGCTTTGGCATTTCCGCTGCTGCTGGGTTACTGCAGCAGCAAGTGCAGCAGCCAGTGCAGTAGCAGCAAGTGCAGCAGCGGCAAGTGCAGCAGCAGCTGCTGCAGCAAGTGTGGGGTTTGGGCGTTTCAGGAGCAGCAAAAAATCGAAAGACAAGAAAAAAAGAAAACATAAAAAAGACAAAAAGAAGAAAGCTTCGAAGAAAAGAAAGAGGAGATCAAGCAGCAGCAGCAGCAGCAGCAGTAGCAGCAGCAGCAGCAGCGATGACTCAGACTCCGACGAGTAGGAGCCCTCTGCGGTTGCTGCTGCTGCTGCTGCTGCAACGACGGCTAGTGCCTACAGCAACAGCTACACTTGTTGGTGCTGCGCTGAAGCTGCTGCAGCAGCTGCTGCTAGTGCTGCCACTGCTGCTGCTGTTGCTATCATAGCGGGCATTGCAGGCGGGTCTTTTGCTGCATGTTTGCTTCTGCGTGCTGCTGCTGCTGCTGCTGCTGTTTTTGCTGCAGCAATAGAAAATCAACACGCCGGAGTCGTAGCAGCGACGACGAGGTAAAACTTCTGCCATTGCTGCTGCTGCTGCTGTTGCTGCTGCTGTTGCTCTGTAGGGCTGCTGCTGGTGCTATGATTGCTGCGCTGCTGTTGTTTTGTGTGCAGCAGGCGCTGCTGTTTTCCTTGCCATAAGTTTCTACAGCTGCTTTCGCTGCATTGGCTGCTGCTGCTGTTGCTGCTGCTGCTGTTGCTGCTGCTGCAGGTCACGTATGAGGGCTCTTGGCCATCGAAGAAGCACAAGACCGAGTAGAGGAGCGCTGAAGCAGCAGCAGGAGCTGCTGCTGCTGCAACAGCCGCAGCTGCAGCAGGAGCAGCAGCAGAAGCAGCAGCGGGAGCAGCAGTAGGAGCAGCAGCATGAGCTGCATATTTGCTACTGGGGTTAGTTGCACTGAGGTGGAGGCTTGACTGTCAGCAGCAGCGGCTGCTGCTGCTGCTTCCTTTCCTCTGCATGGTAGCCTTCAGCAGCAGCAGGAGCAGCAGCAGCTGCTGGTGCTGAGGCTTAGCAGCAGCTGTCGCCAGCAGCAGCAGAGTGTGCTGCAGCAGCAACAGCAAACGTGTCTTAACGATATTTCTCTTGGCTCATTTGCTGGTCTTTGAATTCACTGCGATGTCAGACAATGCAGCAAAAGCAGCAGCACCAGCAGCAGCAGCAGGTGCCGCTGCTGCTGCTGCTGCGGGTCTTTTTGATTTGTTGTCAACACAGCAGCAGCAGCAGCAGCTGCTGATGCCGGTACAGTCTAGTTGATGTTTCTATTGCTTCTCGTTCTAGAGGTGCTGCTGCTGCTCTTGGTGCTGCTGCTGCAGTTGCTGCTGCTGCTTTTGGTGCTGCTGCTGCTGCCGCTGCTGCTGCTGCTGTTCCTGCTGCCGCTTTTCCAGCGCCTTGCTGCCCCTTGTCGCTCCTGCTGCTGCTGCGGTAACCACTTTTGCAGCAGTAGCAGCAGCTGCTGCAGCAACAGCATGCTGAGGCGTTCGGTGGCTGCCTCGGAGTTCAGGAGCATTGAAAACCGCAGCTTGCTGCCGCTGCTGCTGCAGGCGCTGCTGTTGCTGCAGCAGCAGCAAGAGCAGCAGCAGCAGCTGCTGTCGCTGCAGCAGCGGCCGCAAGTGACTGCGGTCTCCAGGCAGCTAAGCATAATCTTAGGTGTATAGACAATAGCGCAGAAGAAGCAGATGGACGAGCGGCAACTACAGCAGCAGCAGCACAATAGCAGCAAAGAAGCAGCAGCAGCAGCAGCAGTAGCAGCGGCGACTGCAGCAATGACGGCCGTTTCGGCTGCAGCGACCTCACACTGTGTCTGGCAGCAGGGACTAGCAGCACATTCAGGTGCAGCTGCAGCAACAAAGAGGGCAGCAGCAGCAGCAGCAACAGGAGGAGCAGCTGCAGCTGCAACAGGAGCAGCTGCAGCAGCAACAGAAGAAGCAGCTGCAGCAGCAACAGCACCAGCAACAGCAGCTGCCTCGAAACGCTAGGAACAGTTCAGCGAAGGGCAGAAGCAAAACTAGTCTCAAAGACTCAGACCCTCAAGGCCACCCAAGTTTCGGCCTAAACCCTAAGCCCTAAACCCTAAACCCTTGCCCTTACACCCTTCATCGTAAACCCTAAACCCTAAACCCTGAAACATTCAATCAAGGCCAGCGCCTGTTAGCTGAATGAAGGTCAAGAGTTGCAGACGGCGAGCTTCGATGAATCGACGCGAAGGGTTTAGGGTTTAGGGTTTAGGGTTTAGAGTTTTGAGTGCTGCCACAGAAATATGCTTTCTGCGGCTTTATTTTCAATATTTTAATGAAAATTTGTGTCCGAGGGTATAGGGTTTAGGGTTTAGGGATTAGGGTGTGGGCCCCCCGCCCCACAGGGGCCTTCTGCTGCTGCCCCACAGCAGCAGCAGCAGCAATAGCAACACCGTTGGTGCTGCTGTTACTTCCGTTCGAGCAGAAAAAAACCTTTTTAGTGGTCTTTGTCTTCGGCCTGCTGCAGCTGCTAAAACGAGCAGCAGCAGCAGCGGCAGCAGATCTGCTGCTGCAGCAACACTGGAAGCCTGGGGGCCCCGACGTCGGCTGCTGCTGCTGCTGCTGCTGTTGCTGCTGCTGCAAGTGCGGCCTACTAATATATTCTGCATTGTCGGCCTCAGCAGCAGCATCATCTGCAGCATTAGCACTAGCAGCAGCAGCAGCAGCACTAGCTGCCGCAGTAGCTGCAGTAGCAGCAACCGGAGCAGTTCTAGCTGCAGCAGCAGCAGCGCCGGCAGCAGCTAGGAATCTCCACCAGCCTTTGCTGTTGCTGCTAGGAGGAGGCAGACTGCAGCAGCTGCAGGGGCAGCTGGAAGGGATCGAGCAGCAGCAGCAGCACAGGCAGCAGTGAAAATGGTGTCTGAGCTCGAGCGCCAGGTGCAGCTGCAGCGCAGCAGCAGCAGCAGCAGCAAAAGCAAGTATGGGATCGTGTCGTTTATGTACGATCCCAGGGATGCGGCGCTGCTGGACCGCTACGCAGTGCAGCAAGCAGCAGCAGCAGGGCTGGAGGTGCTGCAGCAGCAGCAGCCGCTGCTGCAGCTGTTCGCTTCATTCTTTTCGCCTGAGCAGCAGCTGCAGCAGCAGCAGCAGCAGCAGGACCTGCAGCACGAGCAGCAGCAGCTGCAGCAGCTGCGCGTCTTGTGCTCTCTTCTCTCCCCATTCTTCCTGAAGCAAGAGGCTCACTGCTGCATTGAGTTGCTGCTGCAGCAGCAGCAGCTGCACGAGAGGGATCCTGAGGCGCTGCTGCTGCTAGCGCTGCCGTTCTATGAGACGCTGCTGTTCAGCCGTTTGCTGCTGCTGCTACGGCTGCAGCACAACTCCCCGTGGCTGCCGCTGCAGCAGCAGCAGCGGCAGCACCAAGACCTGGGCAGCCCAGTCTCAAAGCAGCAGCTGCAGCGCGTGATGCTGCAGCAGCGAGGTGCTTGGGAAGCTGTTGCTGCTGCTGCTGCTGCTGCGCTGCAGCCGCTGGAGCAGCAGCTGCTGCGCTGCGGGATATCCGTGCCTCCCGATCTTGCTGCTGCTGTTGCTGCTGTTGATGGGCGGCTGCTGCACGTGCCGCTGCTACGGCTGTTCTCCTCTGTGGGGTCTGCTGCTGTTGCTGCAGCAGCAGGGCAGCAGCTGCGGCGTTTAGCCCCCCCGCTGCTGCAGACAGTCTTTGCTGCTATGCGGGGCCCTGCTGCTGCTGCTGCAGTTTACCCGGAGGTGCAGCAGCACATGCTGCTGCTGCTCTGCCGCCTAGTAAAGAAGACGCCGCTGCAGCAACAGGCGCTGCTGCGCATCATTAGCTGCTTGCTGCAGCCGCTGCTGGTGCTGCAGCAGAAACAGCAGCAGCACCTGCTGCTGCCGCAGACAGTTCAGGCGGTGGAGGTGCTGCAGCTTATCGCGCAGCAGCAGCAGCAGCAACTGCTGCTACTACAGAGGGAACAGCTGCTGCTCCTCACCAGATTGGAAAAGCTCCCCCAAGCAGTGCAGGAGGTGGGCTGTCCTTGCCGCTGCTGTTGCTGCTGCTGTTGCTGCTGTTGCCGTCGCTGCTGCTGCTGCAGCGGCTGCTCCTTCGTTTTCTCCTGCCGCTTCTGCGTGCCTGCTGTCGATCTGCTGCAGGTGGCACTGTTCTTGCTGCTGCTGTATTTGCTACTCCTGTTGCTCCGGCTGCTGCTTCTTCATTTGCTGCTGCTGCTGTTGCTGCTGCTGCTGCTGCAGGTGTTGTCAATGGGGTGTACTGACGCCTGCGCCTTCCTGGGGCTCCTTTTCCGGTCAGCGCTGCGGCAGCTGCTCGTGGAGACACAGCAGCAGCAGCAGCAGCAGCAGGAAGAGCTAAGCCCTCTCGGCGAGCAGCTGCTGCGGCTGCTGATGAGGGTGTCTGCGCTGAAGCAGCAGCAGCAGCAGCAGCAGCAGCAGCAGCAGCAGCGGGCGAGAGCAGCTCCCCATGCTGTCTGTATCGCTTTGGCTATAATTGACGCTTTCTGTGGGGCTACAGCCGCTGCTGCTAGCAGCAGCAAACGCAGCAGCAGCAGCAGCAGCTGCGACAGCAGTGACAGCGAGACTTCTGCCAGCAGCAGCAGCCCGAGAAGCTGCGAAGGCAGTAGCAGCAACAGCAGCAACAGCAGCAGCAGCAGTAAACAGTCAGATGTGCCCCGCAGCTTCTTGTTGCTGCTGCAGCAGCTGCTGCAGCGGCTTGACGCAACCAACCCCCTGGCGCTTCCTGCTGCACTCACCATGGCAGCGCAGCAGCAGCAGCAACAGCAGCACGAGGCGCTGCAGCTATTTCTGTCTACGGCCTTCAAAGGCTTTGCTTCCGTTGCGGTGCCACTGAAGGTGAAAACTGCTGCTGCTGCTGCTGGAAGCAGCAGCAGCAGCAGAATTTCTCTATTATTCGCGTTGAGTGCTGACGATGCGGCACTGAGGCTTCATGCAGTCCGTGCTGCTGATGCAGTGCTGCAGCAGCAGCAGCAGCAACAGCAGCAAGATACCGACTCCGGTGAAGCAGCAGCAGACAGACGGCCTCGCCTTTTGGCCTTTTTGTTGCTGCAGCGAATAGCGGATGATGACGTAGAAGTTTCGACTGAAGTGCGTGCTGCTGTTGCTGCTGCTGCTGCTGTCTCTGCTGCTGCTGCCGGTGCTGCTGCAGTAGCTGGTGCTGCTGCTTGCGCTACAGCGATTGCTGTTGCGCCTGTTGCTGCGGCTGCTGCTGCTGCTGCTGCTCTGCTGGAGTTGTGGAAAAGCTGCTGCTGTGCACAGTCACCTTTTGCTGCTGCTGCTGCTGCTCCTTGCAGGCGGTGAAGGCGCTGCCGCTGCTGCGGCGGGCGCTTTCGTGGGAGGAGCGACTTGCTGCTGTGACGGACAAGCTGCAGCAGCTGCA